TTTCTTTAGAGGACAATATTCACATGCATTTCTATAGAGAAGAATTATCTGCAGTGCTGTCAGTTTTCTATGGCTTGCAGAGCCTAAGTAGCCCAGCCAAAGGCACAGACGTCAACAGCATCAGATAAATTCCCAGCTTCCACTGAAAGGATGCCTAGAGATCCCGTTTGCCCACTTCAAAGTCTTCCACAATTTTCCCTAATGCAGGAAAGGAAAAGGAAAGAATATTTCCTGGCCTCCTCTTGGGCACTGTACCAGGAACCTTGTGAGCATTAGCTCAGGATGCTGTTCCAATCCTGCAAGTCACTGTGACCCCATGTTTCGAAGAGGGAGCTGGAGCTTGGTGAGGCTGACTTCTTGGCTGCACTCTGCCCACACGTGGCAGTGCCAGGATCGACTCCTAGAATTTCTATACAAGGTTACTGAGAGCCACCCTCTGGCAGAGAAGGGGCTAGGACACTTGTCTGGATCTACAGGAGGGCACTGAATGAGACTGAATTAGCATGTGTGATAATTTACGGTGGCTTTGAGGAGCTCTGAGTGGGCTTACCAGGCAGGGGTGGCAAGGAGCCTACAGACCTGTTCCCCTAACTCTTTCAGAGCCACCACTGGATTCAGGCTGGTCCCTTTCTAACTGCAATGTCCTGCTGTCATCTCTATGCTGCTTGCTGTCGTAGGAGTCCAGGAGCCAGGACATAGGACCCTACTCTTCCTCAGGGACCACATTCAGTTTCTGCTGCTAAGCTGAACAAGTCTCAAGGAAGAGCCAGTAGATCCTCAAGCTCTGCTTCCAAGAGGCCTGGGGAACTCACTCAATCAGAGAGCCATGATCTCCCCTCCCTCCCTCCTTCTACTTCCCTCCTGTACCCCCTCCTTTGCCAGCTGCCCCTCCCAAATCCCTCCAGCTTGTAGGACTTCCACCTGAGCCCATGTCCTCGGAGGCTGTTCTTGCTACATACATCCCCAGCTCTGCTCTTAAAGTTTCTTTTTGCTGATTCATTGGAATTTAGAGCTTGGAAAGGCCAATAGCTATCATTCTAACCCAACACGCACCTTACCCTACCCCTACTCCCATTTCATAGATAATAACTTGCCACAAATCACACAATGAATTAGTGATGGAAAGAGCAGCTCTCTGGAGTTAACTCCTTGCGGCTGAGACTAAGAACTTGCTGATACTGTAACCGAGCAGGACCCTATAGGGTCTTCCTGGGACCCTCCCCCATATCCTCTGCTGTAGCTCCTCTCTGAAGTACCCAGAAAATGTATGTCATGCACATTTCCTGAGTTTCTCAGATGCTAAAAAACTACCACCAAAGGGAAGAAATTACTTGATGATCACAAGCACAGAGCTAAGGAACGATCACCATCAGCCAAGCTGAGAATTGCGCACAGCTGATCACAGACCCTGGGACTCCCCTCCCCGAGCTGTTAAAAAGGCTCAGCTGAAACCTTTCAGGGAGTTTGAGGTTTTTTTTGGGCCGGAGCCACTTACTCTCCTTGCTTGGCCCTGCAGTAAACATTTCTCTGCTCCAAACTCGGACATTTCAGTATTGTTTGGCCTCACAGTGTTTTGGGCACACGAACTTGTGTTCAGTGACAGTTTTGGTGAAGACAGGCAGGAGTCTGTGCCCGTGGCAGGCAGTCCCTTCTCTGGAGCTGCCTCGGCTCACTCTGCCCCGGGGAACCAGGAGGGTCTCCTCCACACCACCTTCCCCCACTGGCGCTGCCGGCTGCCCCTGCCCAAGGCTGTTTGGAGCTGCTGTTTTGGAACCAGCCGGAGCTGTATCCACCTTTGGTGTCGCCTGGGGGTGAGTGGCTCCAGCTTGTTTAGGCTGGAAATTGTCTCCTCTCTTTCTGGGCTCGTCGTGAGCCACTCTGGGTCCGTTCTCTTTCAAGAGCTGAGCCCATCTGTCTGGAGCCCTCCGTCTGGAGTGGAAGCGGAATTTTTGGGCTACACCTCCTCTGATATTTTGTTTGTTGGGACCGTGTTTGTGTGTGTGTGTGTGTATGTGAGAACTTGCATTGGCTGGTTGAGACGTCTTTGGTGAGTGAGGGAGATTGTGAATGACGACACCCCTATGGCGCTGGCTTGGCCTGTAACCCTGAGAGACCATTTTAAATTGTTGTTTGCTTGATATTTGAGAACGTCGGTCATGAGTAATTAAGTATGGATGATCAGAGCTCTGTTCCCTCTTACAGTCCCCTAGGGTATATTTTGCAAAACTAGGAGATCTTCAGTAATGCCCCCTTAAATGAAAGAAAATGATATTTTTTATTATAACACTGCGTGGGCTGAGGACTCCCTGAGATCTGGAGAACAATGGCCCCTAATGGCTCTGCTATTACATCAAAGTGAGCCTTTTGCAGTTTGGCTTTTGTGTTGGGCGTGTGTGTCTGTGTGTGAGTGTCTTGGTACCTGAGTCCAAATCCTGCTCTCCCTAGTTTTGCTGAAAGTGAGACGTGAGTGTGAGTGAATTGTGTATATATGTGTACACACACACACACACACACACACACACACACACTACTGTCTAGTGGATATTTGGGAACCGAAGAAAAAAAAAAAAAGAACCCGAAAATAGCCAAGATGGTTGGGTTTTATGAAAGCATTTAAAGGAGGAATTTGCATTTCTCTTCCTGTGCTTTTGAGATGTAAATGATCTACCTGGGTTTAAGCGGAAAATCTGAGATTTCTGGTTCTGTGTGTCTTTACAAAAAAATTAACTTGTAAATGAGCTCTATTTAATTCACTTAGAACTATTTAATGTGTAACCACTTACTTTTAAGTATAAAAGAAGCTGGGCAGAATGGATTTGGGGTTCATGTGATCTGGGAAATACTCAATATTGAGTAATATCTGATATTAAAGCTAGCTTAAGTTTGTTGGTATAATAGAGACATGTCTTTTATCGTACCTAGGTTTACTGAAGATCAAGTTCATGTTGTTTCTGGTGGAGAGTTTGTCAGCAGAAAGAAAAAAATCAATTAACTTGGTGTAATGAAATTCTTAAAAGTGAATTAAATGCAAATGAGATAAGAGCTTTTGGGTGAATTCTTTAAAGATGTTTTAAGGATGTCTACTTAAGGTTCATTAATTATAACAAATGTACTGCTCTA